TGTCACAAATTTGACTAATACTAATCAAGTTAGCTTTCAAACCATCAACAAGTAAGACATCTTTCAAAACAGGAAAATCAGGAAGCACAATTGATCCTTTGACAAGAATTTTACCTTTCTTTTCATCTCCATAAGTGACATGTCCACTATTAACCGATACAAGTTCAGTCAAGAGAGAATTATTACCTGTCATATGTCTTGAACAACCACTGTCTAGATACCAAAGATCATTTTGAAATGCAAGCAAAAAAGTATGAGACACAAAACAATTCACATTAGCTTTCGGTTTCCAAACCTTTTTAGAAGAAAAACTATTGTTAACATTATGATTTACATTAGCAACAAAACTATGGTTTTTAAAAATTTTCTTCAAATAAGCAATGAACCTGAAGCATTTGGGTCTGACCTTTCCTATTACAAAAATGACAAATAGGAATGAATTTTGATACCTTTGTAACCTATCTCACAGCAGTTTCTTCAACAGGAGTTCTGGTAGCTTTCACAAGCACATTAGCACCAGCTTTCAATATGCTAGCACCAGGACTAAATCCCAAACCATATCGATCTCTAAAATATTTTCCTTAACAAAGCACTTCATCCAACTTAAGAGATCCTGCATTCAACTTATCAATGATGGCCTAGGCCTCAGTTAGTTCAGTAGTAAGGACAACAATCTTTTCGGATAAGGATTTCTTTTGTTTCAACAAGGAAGCATTCTCAATACCAAGAGATTGCAACTTTTTCATAGCCTTTAGCCATTGGTCATACATCTTATCATATGCTTCTTGTTGCTAGGCATAGACATCTTTAGTGTCATCTGAAATGTCACTCTTACCATCTTTTTAATTCACAATGAAGGCTAAAACATTCTCATAATTACCCGAATCATCATCATCACTCTCATCATGCTCACTCTCACTTAAACTGGCAGTCATGGCTTTACCTTTCTTCTTTTTTAGTATGTTAGCACACTCAGATTGTATGTGCCCAAAACCCTTACATTCAAAACACTTGATACCTTTATTTTTCATTTCTTAAACTTTTGAAAAAAAATTTGTGAAGGTACCAGGGTTTTGATGGTCATAAGGCTTTTTTACAAAAGATTTTCAGCCATAACCACTAATATGAGGCTTTTCATGTTTTTCTTAAAAAACTTTGCAAAATTCTTTGTAAGTAAAGCACAATTTTCATCATCCAATGAACTTAAACCACAATCATCAAAAGGATCAGAATCAACCTTGTGTTTGAGAGTCAAACCTGTGCTTGGTTTCTATTTTTTCCATCGTTGTAGATTTAGCTCATAGGTTTGGAGAGAGCCAATGAGTTCATCAATGTCCATAGCATCCAAATATCGACATTCTTCAATGTTAGTGACCTTTGACATAAACCTCCATAGAGCAAAGAACTTTCTTGACAAGTTCAGCATTAGAATACTAATAAGAGTGTAATTTATATATTTTTATTCCTTCCATATTATGTTTTTCATTATGTTTTATGCCTAGTTGAGTTTATTAGAGTTAATTTTGTAGGTTTGGCATATTTAGATAGACTTTATGAAATAATTGAGAAAAGATTAGGAAATTCCATATTTTTTGTTATTCTGACCAGTACTGTGTTTTTCAGGTTTTTCAAGGAGTTGATTTCTCGATTGCAAAAGTGTTCTTCAGAAAAAGTAAAGTAGATGAATCGAGCTTTCCAGGAAGTATTATAGGAGAGAATCCGAGTTCGTTTGGGCCATCATTAGTTGTTGCAAAACCGGACCTGGAATCCTAGTCATAGAAAGATTTCCTGGTTGAGTATTGAGTCTTCAAATGGGCCTAACTAGAGCTTCAGATATCAAAATCAGGTGATTCAAAAGCCCAGATTCATCTACACATCTAGGATTACAACTTTTATGAAGTGACCGAGCCCAGAAAAGTTCTCTTTCATTGCAAGAATCCTGGTGCAAGTTGGAGACGAATTATGTTTTTCATATCTGATAAGATTTTGATAGTTTTGGAAGTCTATCTTTTAGGAAACGTCTAGGAAAGTAATTTCCATGATTCCTGGGGTAGAATTAGGAAAAAAAACACATTATGTATTTATGAGTTGTTAGGTTAAAGGAGGGAGGGTGGCAGTTTGGTTTTTTTCTTAGTTTTTACTTTCTATGTCAAGATGTGAGACTGATCTTTCTTCTTCAGTTCAAAGGGATTTTGAAGCCTAAATTCATTTCATTGGTGTAACTTAACTTCAGTAACATTGTTCTTAATTTCGTTCTTATTGGAATTGTTTATGCTATTCTGTTTTAATTGTTTATGATTCTTGTTTGAGTGATTTAGTAATGGCCTGCTAAGTTGTTTAATCAAAATTTTATCTATAAGAATTAGGAATTATGATACGTAATTGTCCTCTTTCTATTCAATGAGTAACACATGATGATAGATGATTACGGACAAGTTTTCAGTCTGTCATCTTGAATAACATAACCTAAGTTAAATAATCCGATCATGCGTGATTGTTGCTTGGATTGATCTATTTTCCTAATTCTTAAGGCTGCCATTGAATTAAACTTAGAGAGCTTATTCTAGGTTGTTCAAGGGTTAGGATCTACTTAAAGAGCTTATTTCAGTAGTGAAAATTAAGGGAAAATTTGAGTAACAGAGCTTGTTGTTTCCTAGGGTCAGTAGTTCCACAATAACGAGATAGAATAATGTTACGGTTAGTTCATGTCCAATGCATGTTTAGGTGGATCTTGAATCGAGAACTGGGTGTCTTTAACCTAATATTTTCTACCATTGGAGATTTATTTGTATCAATTTAGTTTGCATTGATTACAACCCCCTTTCATCACTGTTGTCATGTTTACTATTTATGATTTTATTTTATTTTTCTGTTGTTTTCGTTGTGTTTTTTTGGTTAGAACATAGTATTTAAATCGAATCATTCCCTGTGGGATCGACCATTGCTTACCCTATATGCAATTTAGTAATTAGGTTGGCGAGGTTATTAATTTGGAGCATTTGGCACGCTACCAAATATGTTCTTCCCAAAGTAAAAAATTCATTAGAAATATCACAAACTTTATCATAAAAATCAATTATAGTCTCATCCTCTTCCATGTTTAAATTCTCAAAATCAGCCACAAGCCTTCTAAGCCTATTTTTGTTTCACGGTACTAGTTCCCTCATTCTAGACTTGAAGTTTATCCCAAACATCTTTAGCAAGCTCACAATTAGCTATGACTTTCATTTGGTTCACATTAACAGCATTAAAAAGAGAATGAAAGGCTTCAGAGTTATAGTTAGCTAGAGTTATTTCATTAGCAGTCCAACTAGTAACAGGTTTTGGTCTAAACACTTCGTTTTCAATAATAACTGGGGTTGTCCAACCATTCACAACTATGGACTAGACTCTTTCATCTATAGACTTAAGGAAGGCACGCATCTTAGGTCTCCATATGTAATAGTTAGGTCCTTCTAACAGAGGAGGTCTATGAGCAGATCCACCTTTAGTGAAGAAACTCATGACGAAAAACAATCAGACATATGTTAACACAGTAAACAGTAGTGCACACACAAATAAACAGCAGATCTGAAATAAAAACATGACACGACCAGACTTTGTCCAAAAACCAAACCACTCAGATGCACATAAAAACAAGTAAAATGGGTAAGGATCTACTGAAGTAACTTATCAGAACTAGCTCTGAGACCACTTGTTGGGGATTGGTTAAACCACTTTGGTTTTGGATTGCCCATTTAAAAGTACAGCAGAATATTTACCAAGTAGATTAAGACATTTCTGGTTTTTAACCACATCAAACACAAGTGCAGAAAGTAAAGAACACAACCATATACATGATTTGACTAAATCCACTTTTAGCCTACATCCATGGGACCTTGCCCAAATCAAAGCAATCCACTAAGTTAAAAACACAATACCAGATAGTGTTCAAAGTTGATCTAAGTTATAGTAAAAAGAACTCCCTGTTCAACTTTACACAATCCTTAACGTATAGCAACTTCTTCGGATCTTCTTCACATCGAGAACAGCTTGTGAAACCAAGCTTCAAGTAAAGACGCCACACACCAGCATCATCAAAGGAACCATGTTCCAAGAGCCATCAAGTCTATTTTTGATATGGTGAGGTTTTGACGCAAAATGGAAAATGAACCTTGAACCTTAAGAGAAATAATACTCTAAGAAATTCAGAGTAAGAATGAAATAATAGATCATAAGGTTAGATTCATTCATGCAAGAAAAAGTGTTATATAATGAAAGGTTTCTTACTCAACAATGTAGTGCCACATCAGCCAACAAGGGGCTGACCCATGTTTGTCCAAATAAGGAAAATATTCATTCTTTTTGTTTGGACTACAAAATAAATCAAGAAAAATAACTTTATTCCCTGAGACCACCTAAGCATATTGTGACATTTGAAAAAAAAAAAAAAAATGTCCTAAAAAGTAAGAGACAAAGATAACCAATATCTTTTTCCCTTTATCAGACATGTAACTTGTGTTGGGTTACAAATACCTGAAGTGAGAGTGTAAGCACAAACTATTGTGCACACACTCTTGAAAAAAACCAAGCCAAGACATAAGTCTGACAACCTGTGTGCACGCAGAATTGATGTGTATACACACAACTCATAAGTTTGACAAATATGAATATTCCATATCTTGGGTTGTGGATGTTAGGCCAAGAAGTATTCAAGTGCCTTCTTCAACATTGAGAACCACATTTCACCCACTAAACAGGTGTACTTGTGGTAGCGTACGAAGGGACTGCAAAGGAATGAGTGATAACGATCGATGTTAAGGTGTTTTTTTACAACTGTTTTTTTTTCCATTGCATATAATACCAAATTCTTCGTCTTTATAGTATTCCAATCATGCTAATTAGTATGTAATTGGATTTGGATCTGTCCAGAATATTTGCAATCATCATCAACCTCATGTTTGATAAACAAATTAACTATGCTAATCACATAGTTTAGTTCATATAATTAAACACTGGGAAGAGATAAAAATAAAAAGATATATAACTAAACAAAGAACGAAAAGAAAAGGTTTCTACATCAGTGTAGTTATTTCATTATAAATTACTGCTCACTAATTAACTTCACTCCATTTTCGGAAAGCTTTCAGCAGAGCTTGTTCAATCTTTTCAGCATCGACCGGCTCATCTTCTTTATTCTCCTGCGACATGTTCAACTTTTGATTTTAAACACATGCATATTTCTAGAAATATGTTAGTACAAATATGAATAATTTTTTTAGAAAATATCCACTTGCATATATATATATATAAGTGTGTGTATACAAAATAAATAATAAATTTGTGTATATTTCGAGAAAAAGAGAGAGAAATTACGATCGTATGTTAGTACAAATATGAATAATTTTTGTAGAGAATATTCACTTGCTTACTATTGTTCCGATTGCTTCTAAAAGAAAATTGTCTGAACAGGAAACCCTAGCATGAAGCACAACAAGACCCAGATCTTCAAAAGCTTCCAATATGAATACAAGCAACCCACGGCAACTACTTTCAGTGAATATCTTAATAGAAAAGCTCTTTTCCTGTGCTTCTACTCGAAGTTGCTGATATATAGACAAAAACCTCAATTAAATGATCATCTCACCTTAAAGCTTTAAACTTGTAGATAAAGATTCAACGTTATATTAGTCCAACACAAAAGATCATAACTAGAGCTTTTCCAAATCATCATTTTTGGTTAATAAATGTGTAGATAATTTAGTTAATATGTACCATTTGCGAAGGATTTTGACTAGTACTAGAAACTTGTGCCATGGTAATGTCTTGATTCTTTTTTTCTTCCTTCTGCTTGAGCTCTGGTATGTACTTTGATGGGTCTAAGACAACTGAGGTTTTTGTACTATTCTGCATACGTGAGAAAAAAGTAAAATAAAATCCAGGCAACAATTAGACTACATTCATGAACTTCACTAAATTAGTCAATTAGAGGCCAATTAAAAATTTCGCAAAGCTATACAAGGGTTTACTTTTAGCTTGTACAGAATTCCAATATATTTTTTGTAACAATCAGAAAGTTATAAAACAAGAAGCACACTGAAGGTTCAAGTTGAGTCATGATCTAGAAATTAATAAGTATACAAAGATAAGGGAAGAAATGAATAGAAAGTTTCAAAGAGGCTTTAAACAAATGAAATAATAGCAATGAATGCTGAAAATGTATCATTATCTTCTGAAGAAGAAGAAGTTTCTACACCAAAATGCTAAAAATTAAAATCCTTTAACAAATGAATGCAACAAAATTCAAAGTGGAATTTCTATCATATCATGAAGAGTAGAGATCAAGCGCCAGTTAAGAGAAAGAGGAAGAAGCAAAGATGGTATGAAATATAATAACTAGGTTTTCAATTTTGTCCCAGGTACAATTTTGTTTAAAGAGAAAGATAGAGAACAATAACAAGCCAAGGACACAGCATCTCATTGCAGGTAGGCAGAGAATTACCGTATGGGAGTTAGAACGAAGCAGTTGCAGCTGCTTCTTACACATGACTGCCTTCTTTTGCTCTCTAGAAACCATGGCTTCTCTCAGCTTAATTTGTCGCTCACCCTTCAACTTGGCTCATCAATAGCTGCTTAAATAGCAGTTTGTGGCAAGGAATTACAATGTGATGTGCAAATTAAATTCCATTACATTCTAACAGTAACTTGCGAGAAATATCTTTTCTTTCTGTTGGCTTTATATGTTTATAATTATTTTTATTATTATTTTATTTAAAAATGAAAAGTGGTCATTACCCAAACACTCCTTTATGACGAAGTGAACGTGAGATTTTGTTTTATTAACTTTTACGAATTTGCTATGGCAGTTGATACTTGAATGACAGTCTAGCCAGCACCTTAGCTCCCAAACATTGAATAGCATGAGTATCCGATTTGCTTCCCCAGACAAAACTAAGAGGAATATTTAAAAGTTACATGGCGTTTGAAGAATGTATATTATTGATTCTAAATATTCGATCATGTCCTACCTCATTTACTTTTAATTACTAGAGAATACTTGAGTGCCGATGAGAGTACGTAATTAATTAGGATTATTTCATGCACTGATTTAGTACTAGTATAGGCAGCCAAAAAGGTTGTGAATATTTAATCTTGATTCATTTGTCAGTGGTAATTAACTATGCTTAATATATAAGGAATAGGGGGCAATCAATGGATCCAATTACGTGCAGTTGAAAATCAACCTTATAGCATGTATTTGTTTCATTTATCTTAAGAAAAGTAAATTAGATTGATCAGTCCAATTATCGATTATGGTTAAATCGAATTTAGTTGCATAACTTTAGATCTTTATCCAATTTGAAGCTAGTTGTGAATAAATAATACTAATTAATAGGATTTTATATATTGTTGAATATACATGTTACGAAGTACTCTGTAAAGTTCTAAAAAGAATTAAAATAAAAAATAAACTTTATGCAAGAAAAGGAAATCATGATTTTGTATGTAATAGGTTAATTTTCATGGCCAAAAGAGGTTAATTATAAAATAAATTATTATTCCTAGTCCATTTAAGATCAAAGTTAGGGGAAATATTATAGTAAATTCAAATCAAAGTTAGTATTGAACACCACACCACCAATATATGATTTTCCACTTTGAAAATTTCGACAATTCATATAATCCCTTTTCCGAAAAAAGGAAACAAAACATTTCTCCGTAAACTCTCTCATTTATTCTTTTTATTTCATTTAAAATTCTCCAGTACTTTACATTCTCTAATTTCAACAAAATTGAAATCAGAGTTATCACATGTGAATTGGCATCAAGTGCAGCCAGCTCGCTCACAACAAATTGTATTGGTATATACGGACGGACCTATCACATCAAGTTATCTTTTCAGTTTTAAAAAAATATTTGAATGAATATAATGATTTAATTTATAGTAAGGAAAACTACTGAAATCCACACATGAAAATTGGAATCTGGGTCTCTGACAACTTATTAATAGCAACAAAGCATGCAACATGGATGCTTTATATAAATATATCATAGTATAAATTGTCTAATGGTGTTTGCCTGGAAACTTGAAAAGGCACTTAACAGTAAAAAGGAGATGAAAGGTATAGAAGGAGCATATAGAAATGAAAGAAGAGTGGGGACATTTAGAAACTGTTTGTGCGCAGAAGGGTAGGGGTTTTGGTGGTGGGGTTAAGTTGTAAGAAAGGAATCAACTCGTGATCGAGACACCATCGAAAGTTTCAAAGGAAGGTGTCAAACTATGTTCAGTTGTGTTTTATTAATGCCTCCAAGTTTTCCTCACGGGTTTCACTCTCTCTCTTTCTCTCTCTCTCTTCCGAGCGTTCTAGTATGTATGCATTTGGATTTTGTTTTACAAACTTAATATTATTTTTTTGCTTTTGGTTTTGTTGATCTCTCAAAGTGGAAACATAAATAAATAGTTATTCAGTTAGTAGCTAAGAAAGAAATTTAAAACATTATATTAATGCTCTACAAGTTAGCAGATCTATTCGAGAATAATCCTGTAATTAAAATAGGGTTTTTTGGAGTTTTTTTTTTTTTTTTTTTTTTTTTTGGGTAAAAAGGTAATATTATAAAGAATAAAAGAATGAGACCACAAGGGAGGTCCCTTGGAGAGTCGGGTGCCCCGGACATGCCCAAGGACCAAGCAAAAAACATGAACAAAAAGTGTCAAGGATTTACAATCCCTATGAAAAAACGAGCTAGTCTCGATGAAGCGTAAACATAAGCAGACCAGCATCACAAACAAGGTAGGTCTTGCGAAACAGTAAAACAATTTGCACAATCTATACACAAAGACCAACCACCAAAAGCCCCAAACATAACAAATAATTAGCAAACATTGCACGGTGAATGATATCAGCAACAAAGATTTCAGGCTCCGTAGACAGCATGACTCGCAAAAGTCCATCCGCCTCAAGTACCAGTCCACCCAAGAGGGAAGTGAAAAGGGATGAGTCCATAATGTTCCAGAGATAAGGAAACTGGAGCACCAAGAGTAGCATTCCTGCAAAACAACAAACAAGGGACACGCATAAGAACCATAACGTAGAAAAAGGCAGAAAATCATACTCTTCAATTAGTTCCCTCTCTGTGCAGCTCATGAGTAGTCCCATTCCTCCACAACCTGACAGACACAAGCATTGTTCTTGAAAGAGAGACTAAGCAGTCGTAGTCTAACAGTGTTGAGTTTTTTGGAGGTTAACTTGATGAAATTGTTGATAAATTTGAAGTGAATTAATAATATTTTTTAAACCAAGGGGGCTCACTTAAAAAGGCCGAAACATGGGGGTTAAGTAATACTTTTGAAACCAACGATGGTCAGAAAAAAAGGCCGAATACTCTAGGGTTTACTATTAAAAGAAATTTAAATATGAGTAATTACTCATCCAAAAACTTATACCAAATTTCGTACTCAAATGTCATCGTATAACCGATGTTATATCATTCAATGCATCATCCTCAATTTAATTACGTATCAATGACGTTTGAAATATGAAACTTTGGGATAAATTTAGGAAAATTTATATATAATTCCTGAAGCTGATAGATCTAGTTAATTAAAGTGAAAATTATTTTAAAAGAACAGTGGATCATCGTGATCTGGTTTAATTATATAACATAATTTTCAGCCTTGTGAATGGATTGATTTAACATATCCAGGGTTTCCAAGTCATGCCATGAAATTGGTTATATATACTACGTATGTGCAAATTGTCTTAGCGACATATAGCTATCTTTCTAAGGAAAAAGCTGTTGATCTTAATGAAAATTCTAATTAACTGAATGATTAACAAAGTCTTGTAACAAGAGCAACTATATATTAGCTGTAGTTTCAATTTTTAACCAGTTTGCGCAAAAGATTGATATACAACCCAATAACTCAATTATTGTACTGTTTTTTAATTGTTTTTTTGTTGCCCCTCCCTTAAGTGATTTCCAGGTAGCTCATGTGTCAGGTTGAGTGAGCTTACTGATTTGAAATTTGTCTGCATTCAATTGGAAATAAGGAAAATCATCTGTTCGCATGAGAGTAATCATTACAACAAAACAAATACCACAGTCCTAGCTACCTCCCATCTCTCTCAATAAATTCTTAACCCTATTGCTCACATTAAAGCCCTAATTAATCTTGTATAATTTTTTCTTTAATGTTGTTCTAAAGTTTGTTGTATTCCATATTAAAGTATTTGTAAACAGTAGTTGACTCCATTAAGCATAAAACTCTACAACTCTATGTTCTAAGTTGCATACATATATATACATATAGAAAACCATGCATACTATATATCCTTATCATAAGACTACAAGGGAAATCGTTGCAGTTTGGGTTGATTCCACTTGGTCTTTCATGCCGGAATAAATGAAAAAAATTTCCACCATCGTTTGGTATCTGAAAATGTAATTGTTTCTTTTCCGTTCAACCCAACTAAACTATTTTTGATCTATTTTTTTTCAATCAATATTAGTCAGCTTTTTGTCAGAAAATCGATCAAAGATAACAATGGCCATCATGTTGTTTTTTTTTAGTTAGATAAATGTTTTTTTTTAATTAAAATCTTAATTTATATCTTATTCCATTTGGTCTTCAATTTTAGCATTTGATTTTAAAACAATAATTAATGTGTAAATTTATTAGTTGCTCGTGTACCACCTCAGTATTCTAAGGTGATACCACGAGGTATTCTAGTTTTTAAATTAATTTAATAAGTTACATAAATTCTTCCCATATGTATCCTTATTACAGTGAAATCTTCATATTAAATACTTATTAATAACTATCTTTCGGTTAAATTCTCAGCGCGTTGCCAAGTAGGTACGGTAGAATGAGGGTTTCTTCTATCTAAATAGTTGTATCTCTGTTTGAGAATTAAATTATTGTGCAATGTGATTCTCTCAATATGGAATATAAAACATATTAACATCCACATCCGGACCTCCATGCATGATGAAAATATATACTATCCTCTATTCCTTCAAGGAACGAAAAAGAAAGAAAATAAGTCCAATTTCTCTGACAGTCTCAAACATGTGAATCAATAATTCAAAAACTTCAATTTAATCATTTGTACTTTGAGGGCGACTTGAAGCCTATCATTGTGCTGTATTCCAACGAGGGAAAAGTACAATAATGAACACCTAAAACCACAGTACTTTGCATTTTATGATAAATTACTTTGCATGATTTCCTCTACTATAATATAAACTCAAGTCAAGTACACTTCAATCAAAACCAAATCAAAGTTCCGCAGAAACAAAATGGAGATAAAATGTTCATCGCGTAATGGGTTTCCATTCAGCCATCTTTTTGGAGATCATGAGGGGAACTCAATCAAAAGGAACCATCAGAAACATATCACTATGTTCAATCACTTTCAATTTTTTCTCTTTTTTACTTAACCCATCATATTCAACATATGCTTAATTTGTAGATTTACCAACATTAAGCTTCTTTTATAATATCATGGCTAGTTTGTGTTAAAGTACAGGAAATTTTTCATTTAATTTTGGAAATGTTTTGTCAACTTATGAAGTTGTGGACATATTCTTGTAATGCATTTTGTTTGATTAAGCATAACTGTTTTTTTGTTATGTAGTTACCTGTCACAACATATTGT